AGCGGCAACCGAACCATCTCGAAATAATTTCCATGATCCAGCGGTATTCTCCCATGTTAGGCAGATATGATGCCACTTTCCATCATTGGCGGATACAGAAGTATGACCACTAAAATTTGCAGCAAAACGCGAGAAGTGTACTTTGAGTATTTTAAAGCTTACAGCAACATTAAATCAAAATAATTGTTGTGATTAATAACAGGCCAAAACTTCAGATGAAATACCCAAACCCTCCATGGTCGTTGATGTAGATCCTAAATCGTCTATAGTCAGTCAGGAGAAGCTCGTTAGTTGCTCCAGATACAGCATAGCTCAGGAGTGTTCCTTCATTTCTAGTATCAGCGGTTTTCATCCACAGACAAACCGTTACAGCTGACAGGTTTGGCATGCCACGTGTGACGATGACGTAATCACTGGTTCCTCTTTGCGGAAATTGTAGAGCGTATCCTGCAACTGAAGAATTACTCATTTTTTTTTCTCATTTGTCAACGCCGCTTTCTTCTCTGATTGTACCATGATTATTTTTACATCATAGTAGTTGATAGGCTAGCTAGGGTGATGCGAGTTTCCATAGGAAGGTAAAGCAAAATCACGCAATCCTAAAATTATTTTAAAGATGCATACCTGGCATAGCCAATGCCTTTATCGTTTCAGACGTGTTCTTAAATTGCAAAGAGAGCTCTTCGATTGACTTAATCACGACATCCAGTTTCCTTACGACACTTTTGTTAAACGAGTGAGGACTTGTGTACCACGCCTCGATTGTTTTGTTAATGAGAGCCAGTCTTCCTGAAGAAATTGAGACATAAACAAAGATCTTTCAATAATAAATGTGTAGGACAAAAAAATATTGATTCATGGTGTGAATTCGAAATGTCAAAAAAGAAAGTTTTTCAAACAAATTTCGATTCTTACGGAATCAAAGTGAATTTCACAATGAGATTACCGCTGTTTCCAAGTATCATTTCCAAGTTCCACTGCCCTGTGTGATTGTAATTTTCACATAATTTACAAAGTGGTATTGAAGGTTATCTGTGTAAGGAAAAGATATCTGGGATTTTCCATGAACTGAGATTTTGACACGCAAGTATATTTAAATGAAATTAAATCGAACTGTCAAATAAATCTTTTACACTTTTGAAAGTCTACTTTCAGGAAACAATGTCGGTGTTGATAGAAGGTTTGTGTGGAATACATTCGAAGAAATGAAGCCAAAGATCACTAAGTCATTCGCAAGCAAAGGTTAGATGCGATCGGATTGCGTTACATCACGTCCTTGAACATACTTTAGATGCGTACTTTCCACTTGCATATTGGTAAAATTTTCGCGCTTCAAATTGGCGTTTTACATCGTTTTTATGTGACCTCTTTTCTGTGGAACCTGTCTTACGTGGCCCCCCCCCCCCCCAGCCATTCTTCGTAGGTGACCACCTAATACAGGTTTAAATGTGTAGGAAAATGATATCACAAGGGAGGATTGGTAACTCAACGTGAACAGCCACAAGTAGGAGATATGTTCATCATTGAATCAGACTTGTTTTTCGTTTTGCATCTTCTTGTTTGAGAGAGAGGCCCAAGTTTCCTTCATAGACCAATCACAAACCGCAGTAAAGCAAAGCAATACAACCCAAGTTGAAAATCAATGTAAATATGCATACCTTTAATTTCCAAAGTAGTCGTCCTTTCAGACATGTTCATAACATTCACGTTTACTAAATCCAGTTTTCTTTCCATATTGGTGCCCAGGGAGTCGAGGCGTTTGGACAAAGCTTCAATGGCTTTGAAGATTGAGTCCTGGTTATCTGTAGATAATCGCGACAAAAAAAAGCTAAAATGACCGATCACACACCTAGGTGGTAGAAAGAAAAATTGTGAAATTCCACCATCAAACCTTGTAGAAAAGGCTTCCGTTTCACTGCCTTCAGTTTCTTCAAAGACGTTAAATGAACAGTGAAATAAGAGTGCAGATGCACACGCATATACACGACTTAAAGTGCATACCTTGTATTTCCAAAGCAGTTGTCCTCTGAGATGCGTTCTTAACATATGCATTTACTAAATCCAGTTTTCTTCCCATATTTACGTCCAATGAGTCGAGACGTTTGGACAATGCTTCAAAAGCTTTGTACATTGAGTCCATCTTTTCTGTAGACAATCATGACAAATAGAAAAGGATTTTAAGACAAGCGATTACCCATTTAAGTGCCAAAGACAAAGGACAAACTGGGTTTCCCGGTGAGGATTCTAGCCCATCCTATTGCAGCCCAAATACTCCAGCAGCTGTAATGCAAACATTAAAGTTCTGTAAAGTTTTGTCAAATTATCCAGTTTTCCCAAAGACGAGTGAACACATCTGACCTAAAACTGATTTCTTAAAACAAGGAAGGCTGGTTTACCAACTTAGAGCAGGCACATCTATATAGATGACAACAACGACCTCCACACCAGCTATGACCTTTTCACCAATCAAAACCTCATTAAAGAAACACCACCACAAGTTCTAAATATACATACCTTGCATTTCCAAGACCGTTGTCCTTTTTAACGACAAAGGAGGGGGGAGGGGGGGTTGGTAGCGGATGTGTTGCATTGACTGATGCATGATAGTTGCGCAAGAACCGCATTAATTGGCGCGGGAATGCCCAAGTGAGTCAAAGAAGAGAAAATGCAGGTCATCGGCAAGACGTTTCAATCGCAAGAAGCTTAAAAATTCCTTTCCATAAGAAGCTGCAAGGGGTAATTAATGCAACTATGAACTGCCAACAGCAATGAGAAGTTGTTTCGCAACATTTTGGTAACTTCCAACTTATGCGTCACCAACGAGTGGTTGATCAGCGTAACAGATGCTGACCCAAACATTTCTATTGAGAATGGAGATAAGATATAGTCTCTGAGATAATGTGCGCGCAGTACAAGCCAATTTTTTGGTGCGTAAATTTCCAGGACTACCCGCTAAAATCTAAATGGAGAGAATGGCTAAAATGATTCGCTAATTTTACCATAGTTACTCTTTCGCGTAGGTGGGAAAATAAGAGTCTGAATATTTTGTTTTCTTCCTGATGTGCTATGAAAAGAGCTCTTAACTGGATTTAACTTGTTTCGAATTGCTTTCTACTTTCGTCATTTAAAGCTTCTTTATGAGAATAAAAATCGTTCACAGAAAACCACTTTATCCTCTCTTGGTAAGACACACTGAGGAGATAAGGCAAAAATATATTACAAATCTCGTTCTTTCGATCCGCGCATTATGTTCTGTTCCTCGGTTTCGCCTTTGTGACTGATGGCTCACGTGCTTTGCGCTCGGCCCATGAGTCAAGAAAAATAGAAAATAACTCTTAGTATGGACCCCAGATACGGTTAGAAATAAGATGTATATCTTCTGCGACTTCATAGGGGTGATTTCACATCGCCGTGTAAATCTTTCACTCGCTTGCTCGAAACGGTTTCCTCCACGAACGTTCTGATACCAAAAACTCTAATACAGGAACGTTTTTGAGGAAACTATGGTAAGTGATCTCTCTCTTTGTGCTTTTATGTGGCGTATCATGCACCTCATGCGATATCCACGTCTTTGAGCGTAGGTAATTTGCAGATTTGTATGTAAACATAACTACGACCATGATTGCGTCGTGGTGTAGGTAAGTTAACCTTCTTGGCAAGAACCATTTTGCTTGATTTTCATTGGATATTGAAAGATCAGATTTGACACATCTGGTGCGCATCGCGGAGCCAAATTACAAATATATGAGAAGGCTGATTACTAGTCAAACTCCAGAAATTTGTTTTTCATACATCTAGAAATACCTCTTACTAACCGAGTTAGGTTACCGACTGAGTTTTTCTGCTTGAAGTTATAGCCCCTTCAAAGCAGGCCGCACAGTGAAATACGACCCGCTAAATTGATCAATAATAGCGCACATACTGAATGAGGAATATGATAAAGGTAATATATATTATCCAAGAAAGAAGATTACATATAAGGGTCTTTTATCTTTTATCTTTTCCCTAATCGTCCTTCACCATAACTTCACATAAACATCCTTCTTCAAACGTATGTCTTACCTTTCTGTGCCCCGCATAGCCTTTGTCCCGATACATACAGCGTAACAAATATCAATAACAGGACCAGCAAGACAGCCATGGTGAGCAAACAAGCGATCTTCCAGTGTGTAGCTCTTACCCACCCCCTGTTAGTCTTCTGTCGCTGTTCTTCATCAATAAACAATGGTTGCATTCTGAAACGTAACGAGATGTTTACCTTGGTTTTATTAAACGTACGCAATACCAAAAGGAAATATAACAAAAAAGGATTCCTGATCGCAGGTTGGTGAAAAATTTCGAGTTCTGTATGTAATTTTCGCATTTGAAAATGAAAGTATTAAGTTAACATTTTTTTAACAAATTCCACTATTTGCCGTTTTTATATCCAAGAATCGAAACGACAATTACAAACGTCGTGCACCACTATCACAAAGAGTTTTAACCCTTCACTTCTGCCATAAGCAGATGTTAAATTGATCAAAATCCGAAATTCATAACTTGTTGACAGGCTTGGAGAATTGATACTATTTTCTTTAGTGCAGGGGGCGGCTGTTCACAGGCTAGGGTGTTGCCGTCGCTGATTTTTTCTTTTTTCTTCCAATCGAAAGTTGATGTGAAACGGAATTAGTTATTCTGTAGGCTGTGTTATAAAAGATTAACTTATCAAATTACCGACACTATGCGGCCAACAGCCCTTTATACTGACACGGCACTCGCCAGCTTTATATTGGTAATACAGAAGTTTGAGTCACGTATCACAGACAATCCAAGTTGGTTAAAATCTTCATTGGCAAGTCATTCCGCCAAAATCCTTTAATGCCGCTCATTGCATTCGAATAAAAAAGAGCTAGACAACCGAATGCGTTACTAACATACTGTTTTTGCGAATAGTTCCCCTATTAAGACAGTTTTTTCAGAGTTGCAAAAAACATAACTGTTGGGAATTAGATAATTGCCTGACAACACAATGTTTTTCCCGATAAACTCGCGCTAAAATCTCTCGCTCACGATAGAATTTTAAACAGATATATTTGTGTCTCACGATGTCCCGATTACGATTACAACACACTCTTCGATTTCTAGAACAAAAGATACAGCAAATTGTACAATGTGTTCTTTGATTGGCTTAAGTTACTAGCGATGACAGGTTCAATGCCTATCCCTTTCCGGTCAACTAAACAATTCTATACGCATTAAAATGTGTTGATTACGTAAACACACGATTTCCGACATAACAAAACATAACATTTAAACATTTAACTGCGAATCAAGGACAGCAAAGCCAACTTAATTAAATATTTTGCAAATAACGCAAGGAAAATTCAAAACTAACCTGAGGTACTGGTTCTGGAGTGAAATGACAAAATAATTACAAGCTTTCAAGTGCAAGGTCAAGATTCAACCGTATATCTCGTGTTCAAAATGGAATTTATCCCCGAATTCTAGCTGCAGTGGTTACATATGTATTTCATCATCGAACCATTTCGACAAACCATACCGATATCACGTGATGAATTGGACCATGGCCCTGCATGGCATTGCAAGCGATTTAATCTTTTGCTTTGATAAAGAAAACATCTGGAGGAAATGATAAAAAGACTGGAAAGTGAGCACATTCTTTCCTTTTTTAGTTTTCGACGTGTCAAGCTACATGTTTTAACCCGTTATCAATAAAGGGCAAAATTACTGAGCGCTGATTGGTTGAGAGAGAGGGCATTTTTTTCTTAATCGAGGGCATTTTTAGTAATCAAGAGAGGGCATGATTACCTGTTAATGATTGGCTAATCCGTTGCATTGCTAATCCGTTGCTTCCCAGATAAAAATAGACTGCGCGCGTGATTTTCCTTCGTATAAATTTTGCCCTTTATTGATAAACAAGTAATCCCATGAGACCTCGTACTATTAAGGATTAATTGCACTTGAGTTTTCAAAATTTTGGAAAATTTTGAAAACTCTCGTGCAATTAATCCTTAATAGTACTTGGCCTCATGTGATTACCTATACTAATACTATTGCTGTCTTTGATTTATGCAAAGATAATGGTGCTTTGATTAAATTCAAAATCATTGAAGTATCTTACTGAGAATCACAATCTTAGTAATTTCATCTGGTCGAAAGTTGATGTGAAACGGAATTAGTCATTCTAAAGATTGTGTTGTACAAGATTAACGTATCAAATCACCGACACTGTGCGGCCAAGAGCCCTTTATACTGACACAGCACTCGCCAACTTTATATTGGTAATACAGACGTTTGAGTCACTTATCACAGACGATCCAAGTTGGCTAAAATTTTATTTTTATTGGCAATTCATTCTGCCAAAAACTCTAATGCTTTTGATTATGTTTGATGACACAGAGCTAGACAACTGAATGCGATACTAACTTCCTGTTTTTGCGAATAGTTCCCTTATTACGCGTGTTGTTTTGGAGTTACGATGGAATCATACATAAAACTACTCCGAATTAAAACAGATGATATATACTTATGTACTATATAAAATTAACGTTTTTTAGGGGGGGGAACGCACATGACTGTTACACTAAACAGAAAAGCGAAATCTTTAGTCATTACCGCGAACTGCACCTGGCTCAGGAGATAACTTACAAGAATTCGAAACTCCGACTATGCCGAAAATCTGCAAAAATATTCGAAACATAGACAGTTTAATCCAAGCTCTTTTAGGTTTTTGTTCTTCTCAACAAGCCTACGCGCGCTAAACGCGATGAGAGGCCCTGCATGGCATTGCAAACGATTTAACCGTCAATCAAGAACAGCAAAGCCAACGTAATTAAATATTTCGCAAATAACGCAAGGAATATTCAAAACTAACCTGAGGTACTGGTTCCGGAGTAAAAAGACAAAATAATTACAAGCTTTCACGCGCAAGGTCAAGATTCAACCGCTGATCTTTAGTTCAAAATGGAATTTATCCCCGAATTCTAGCTGCTGCAGTTGTTTATGTCTTTCATCATCGAACCATTTCGAGAAACCATACCGATATCACGTGATGAATTGGACCATTCCGGGAAAAAGTTGAATCACGTGCAGGCATGAAAACTGAATTGAATATCTCGTCATTTTTGTGTCTAGTGCGTAGCAACCAAGCACCTTGCAAAAGCGGTAGGAGATTGGGTGTCAACAAATTACGTTTGCCTTAACTGTTTTGTGAAGTACACCGTACGTGACAAGCTACATGTTTTAACCTCCATACTATTGCTGTCATTGATGTATGCAAAGATAATGGTGCTTTGTTGCGTGATTAAATTCAAAATCAATGTGTCATCGCTCCTGAATGGAGTCCTGGTTAATGTTATGAATGTCGTAATATGATTCTTTAATCTTAATAAAGGCTCCATTCTTTTGCCTGTTGTCCTGTTGTCTTAACCGGCTTTCAACCACGAGTTGTTTGTTAGTCGTAGGATGGCATGTTCTTTCTACGATATATTTGTGGGTATGCAGCTATCCCGTATGGTGAATAACTAAAAGCGCTTTCCAGTAGCCTGTTGGTAAACGGCTTTCTCCCAGATCTTCACGGTCAATTGATTTCTTGGGCGTATCGGAATATCGAGCCAGACACCCTTAACGCATGCGTACTTGTCTTCAATTATTCTGTCAAAAATACCATTTACACTTCGAGCATGTCTAATCAGCACGACTTATTTAATATGCGAGGAACTGTGAGAAATGTTAACTTGTAGAGGTGAGTCAGTGGAGTTATGGTTATCCTCCCACCTTTAGATTTTTAGCGCGAACATAGCTTACATACACGGATACACAGGATAGGTACGAGATGAGAGATGAATATACAAATATGTTTCAGGGATAAGGCCTTCTGTGCCACTAGGCGCGAAGAAGTTAGGTGAAGGTGAAGTTGCTACAATGAAACTTAATTATTGAAAGAAAATGTTAACTAACATACCTTGGTTTTTCAATCATTAATTTTAAGAGAAGGCTTTGGCTTTGGCTTGTGAAAATGCTTGCAAATAGATCATAAATTTTAGAAAAAGGGAAAAGTCTCTGCTTAAACTCAAAGCCTAAATGCTGACTCCAAGGTTCAAGCTGGCAGTGTCCTAATACAAAGTTTTTTGAGCCACAGCATCCTTGTCTTACTCCTAAGTTAGTTTTTGGCCTTTGCCAGTGGACTGCAAGAGTTATTGTTAGCAAACAGAAACTGGCAAAAAGATGAGTCATCTTGGCAGTCCTGTTGATAAAAGATGTGACATCTTCACAACAGGAATACTGATTTGCTAAAGTAACAATGGAAACAGAATGTTATCTTGCATATGCCTAATTCTTCTATTCTTGATTATTTTCTTCTTCTTCCTTTCTTTCCCAATATTTCAACTACAAGAAGGCTTAGGGGTCAAATAATTTATTATACCATTTTTGCCTACTTTATGCCATTCTAGATCTCACAGTGAACACTAATGTAATAGGGAACACAGTTGTGTGGCAGATGATAATGATCAAATGAATAAGCCTACTGAATTCATTTAAAAGTACTATGTTTACACACTAGATGGATGGTACCATTGACACGGATAAGTCTCAAAACAGGTCAAAGCCTATCATTTGGTCTCATAGAAACACACCCAAACTACTGTGTCATGCACCAGGTCTGTTAGTAAGGGCTATTCTTCAGGGTTCTGATATTCAAAATTACACCAGAGTTAAGATAGTGTGCACTTATTTCTAAGAACTCAGAAAACAACACACCAGAACAGATGGGTTCTCAAGGCAACCCACCCAGTTTTAACTTTGTTTATTTACTTTTAGATATGCAAACAAGTTATACTTGGCTTTACTTCCAATTGGTCAAGAAATTGGCATTAATGTCTAACAATGGAAAGCCAATATGATGATAATTAGTTATTATTACAGAAAACTACACCATAAAATTTGACACTGAGTTACTGAAAACAATTCATACTTCATAATATGGGATTAACACAAACATGCTGGTACACATTTTGCAATTTATTTTCCAATTGCATACCTGGCCATCCATCCAACATTGTGGCCTTTCTGTGCTGCTGGAACTGTTTTTGTGATAATTTTTTTTTGTTTTTAATTTACTGTGGTGTGACTTTCCCTAATCCCGCTGCTAACTGTGGAAGAGGGCAGACTAATACAGAGGGTTTCCACCAGCAGCCTACATGCAGTTTTCTTTTTGTTTCCAACCAAAATTGATCATCTCAAGGTGATATTTGTCTCTGTTGACAGGAATCAGCAAACTAGCAAAAATGTGACATTTTGGCGATCCAGAATCATCCATAGCCATTAGTTGCCCCCAAGCGATGGGAGGTGATGGAAATTCTATGGGCTAGGGATCTAAAAAAGGCTGCCAAATGGTGCAAAGAAAAGTATTGAGGCTAAATTACATGCCTAATATGATTTTCATGTTTTCACATGTGGATCATTATTAGCAAGTATTTCCTCTGACAAAAACATTGCTAGAGTTAAACACTTCCTAAATTTTTGCATCTGTAATTTAACACAATAGCTGCCACTGTCACCAAGAAACAAATATATTTTAACTGAATTTCAACTCTGGTTGACTTTATTTTTTAAAAATGTGTATATATTTAAGTAAGTGAGTTAGTTACTTATTCATTTAGTTATTCATTTAGTTATTTACTTATTCAAGTCTTTCTGTTTTGATCATTCTGAATGTTATTGCTGTGAGAACAATTTGAAGCCTATCTTAGACAAAACCTTTTCATATATTTTCCTTGATCAGAGCTATAAAGTCGGTGAAGAAAATTGTCATCTAATCAATTCATCTAACAACTTAAGGGCAATCTTCAGGCTCTACATGTACATCACTGGACTTGGCATAGCCAAAAAGCTAAAGAAACATTGCTGATAAACATATTGTGACTTTGTAAGTTTCTTGCAACCTAAACTGCAAGGTTAGGCCTTCATAACTAGCAAGAAAGGTTATGTTATGGGACAGTATGTTCTTAAGTAGGGAAACTGGTCATAACTATTGTGTATAGGAAGGTCCTCAATTGAAAAAAAAGCCTGGTGGCTCTTGTTATGACATCCCCATCCAGCAATACACTTCTTGAATATCTTCACAAAAGTAAATACTAGGAAAGAGCACAACATCCCCTTGTTGTTTTACTAGCCCACTGAATCATTCTCAATTCAATTTTTTTCATTTAACCCCTACCCTGTTTATTCCTGACTTCCCCTAAAGGCTACATATTAAAGAGGCCAGTGATGCCATTAGTCCTGTTGTTGTTGGTCCCCTTGTGGTGTTGCTGTCCAAACATTTTTGAGCATTGACAAGTAACATTGGAATTTCTTGCTTTGTAGCTACTTCATGCAGGACTTGGCCAAGGGAATAAACATCACTGGCTTTGCTACAATAGGTGCCATTCAGAACTTCAGGAGCAATGTGCCTATAGTGAAAAGTGTACTTCTTTGCAGGGGGAAATGAACTGTCACAGGCCTTTCCAAAGTCTATAATTTGGCCATGTTTATCAGTTACAAGAACATTGTTTGATTTGAGACCACAATGAAGAAAGTCTTTGGAGTGAATGTGAGCGAGAGCATCTGTGATATCATGACAAATGATCAGCCAGTCTTTGCTTGTCAGTGAACTGTTAACTTTCTCTAATATACCATTGGATTCTTTGCAATAAAATAGTTTACTGACTGTTGTGGATGTATTTTCTTCCCCTTTGAACTCCATCACTAGAGATATAGGCTCAGAGTCTTTCAAGCTGGATTCCTATTATTGCAGGAATGTTTTTGTGTGTGAGAGTCTACATGATTTGTGCCTCCTTAATACCATCTCTTTAGTGCTTTGCGTCAGACATTGTTTTTCTACCACAAGAACGTTTAATCTTTTGAAAGATTTTAAAATGCACCGGCCATATGAACCCTGTCCTAGTATTAATTCCTTTTCACTGAATGGTTGAAGCTCAGATGGATCAATTAAATTAACAGTGGCAAATTTGCTACTGGGTGGTCCTGATTTTGTATTCCTGTCTCTAATCTGGGATAAAGTAATAAACAGAGGAAAAGTGAAGCTGGTCAGCTTAATAAGATTCACATGCTAGATTGTGTAATAAGTGGTAATAGGACTGAGTAGTCTTTGGTCTGTAATCATAAGAGTGATAACAAAATCAGACGACTGCATAGTGGGAGTACAATTTGTTTATCACGAGTGTGATTACAGACCGAAACGAATGACACAAAGTCCTTTTACCAATTAATCATAAAAATTACAATTTCCAAATTAAAAAGAACACTTAAATATTGTCATTGCTCAAGGGAAACCAATTCTCCGTTATGAAGAAAGCCCCAATTTAGGAATCTGTACACTATTTCTATGGTGATTGAAACCAAGGTTGTGATTGATTGATTTAAACCACAACTTTGAATGTGATTGGTTGACTTAAACTACAACTTTGAATGTATTTGGCTTATTGAACTGTCCAACAACAACTTGGCAAGTGAATTAGTGGAAAATGGGAGTTTTTAAAACTAATCACAATCGAGGAAATTGTAATTCCTATGTTAATAGATTTATTGGTAAACTTTATCCTCATTTGCTTTATCCTAAACAACCCCAAGTATTTTATGTATTCATTTTAGACTTAACTCTAACACTGTTGATAGAGATACACAGAGGGTAGGCATGGTTGCCACAAACAGAACTTTCCAAAATTCCCTGACTATTAAGGTACTGACCTATCCATGATAAAAATAAAATTTCCCTGATGAAATGGATACAAAATGTCCAGTCTCCTCTTCTTCATTAAAAAATTGCTGAGATGATCTGAAATATTTCTTCCAGCATGGTATGAAACTCAGTGGTGTAAAAACTTTAATTTCCCTGACTTTTCCCTGACCTTGAAATTTCTATCCCTGGCCATTTTTTGATCTGTGGTAACCTTGGTAGGGCAAGATCAACACTACATGGCAAGATGGAAGGGAAAATGCTCAAAGCTCAATGACTGTTCTTTTCAGACGAAAGTTT